CTAAATCCAGTTAGTGTCAGCATCTTCATTTTTAAAATGCAGGAAACAGCATTTGTTCTGCCTGGCCCATAGCATTGCTATGAGAAACAAATGTACTTATATCAGTTAGAAGTATTTTGGTAACTGTCAAATAACTAATCAGATATTATACATTAGAATAATAATTCATCTGTCAAAAATGATATGCCTCCAGTTAGAACCAAGTGCTATTTTAGGAAATATTCATAATTCATATATTCTTTCATAATGATACAGGAAGGAGGGGGGATTGAATTGAATGGTTGTTCTATAGCTGAATCACTTTTCTCTGCATCAAAAATAAATAGACTCCAAGTTTACAATATCAAGAAAAAAAGGCATAAAGTCCGTCTTCAGTCTATAACTGATTGGAATACCTAAAATGGGGCTAGAACTTGCCCAGTGAAGGAGGCTTCCTGCGGAGCCTTTGCATTGCATAAGACCATAGGTGGAATCCTGATCCTCACCCTAAACCTTTTGAGGTGGGAAATTTCCACTGAAAGGACAAGCAAACCAGCCTGGAAAGGCTAGAAGAACAGAAGATACTTCTTGAAAGAAAGACCAGCAGGAAAATAAAAAACAATAACCGCAGACTGATTGACCTTCACAAGAACAAGCAAGTCATTCACCCAGGAGTCATCAAGGCAAGTGGTCAGGTCCCCTCAGGGCAAACCCCCTTTAAGACTAAGATTCAAGGTGAATAGACTAGCAGGCATGCTGGTCACCGATAAGGGAAAGTAGGGGAAAAACAGCAATGAAGTTGTGAGCTAATAAGTCTGACCACGTTCAATAGACTCCTGTCACCCTGGGTTGAGACATGGCTGGCCAGTAGTATGGTGAGACCTGGGGACTCCTGGGCCCAGGGACAGGGACATGGCCACAGAGGACTAGAGTGGAGAGTGAAGGGTCTGGCTGATATGTAGTAAAGGGAGATGCACAAGAATACCCATACTTGCAGATAGTACCCATTTGACCTAGCTTCAATGGCTGGATGACCAGAACTCAACTAGAGGAAGAAAGAAGAGGAAAAAAGGAGTAATCTGCTACAATTTGATGAACTTGACTTATGCTTGTGGATGTAGTAGATCAAAAGAGGGAACAAATCCTTACAGTGAGGATCATTCTCACCTCCTCGGTACACAGGGTTGACAAGGATGGGCAACTTAGACATTAGCTACCCCAAATTGGGGAGAGGGGGAGGAGGTGGGTTGCAAAGGCATGAAGTGACTGGCTTACAAGTTTTCAAGAGGGAGCCTAGTTTCAAAGGGTACAGGGAAAGGTAGACTCATCACTGAGTGGTTTCCAACCTGTCTGGATGGGGCTGGTGAAAGGAGATAGGGATAAGACTCTTGTGGTTCAATAGTGAATAATTGCTATCTGAACTGATTGTGAGTATTGCAAATGTAAAGGTAGACATTTTGTAACAAAAGGAGGGGAGTGGTTGATCTTGCAGTCCAGGAGCAGAGGACCCTGGGACCATCAAGGGAGAAGAGCAGAGTGCGGGACCCTATCCAGAGAAGCAGTGATGCCAGAGATGGAGGCAGAGACAATGATGTGGACAGATAGTGTGGCTGGGGACTCTGGACTCTGGGAGGGAGAAGGGCTGTGTGCTGACAGCCTGGGGACAGGCTTTCAGGGTATACCCTTTGGTTGGTTGATAATGCATGGAGGGAATTGTAATCATGGCAATAAAACGAAATAGGATAGGATGAATGTAAAACTAATGTTTTCCCATGTAAACTATCACATAACTCACAATAAAGACTTTCCAAAAAAAAAAAAAAGAAAGAAAAATTACCCTCAGTCTGGACTTTCAGGGGAAAGTGTTAATCTGGAGCCTGAGAAGTCCATGAAAATCAGAGTAATACCTAGCGGAAGACACAGGGAAACTTGTTGGGAGACCAAGTTGTCTCAGGTTATGGAAATAGCATTAGAGTCAAAAGAAAAGATCATCTTGACTTTTTGAGACTGAGAATGTGGTCAACATTTAACTTCATAGAAGTCCACATCCACTTCAGAGAAACAGTAATTGGGGGGAAAAAAAGAAACGATATCATGTGTTTATACCCTTAGAGTAGCTGAGGGATGAATATTATAAGATGGTGGGAGTAGTAGGTAGGGGTGGGAACACCCAAAGAGCAAGGTAAGCATGGGTTTACTTGTGTTTACTTACTAATCTGTAGTGAACAGTTTCACATGAGTTTCACATCTTTGATTAATAAGTATTAACTTGTTTTAGTCTCACTGAGTTTTGATGTGGTAGAAAACATGTAAAAGTGTTCATTACAGATCAGTAAAGAAGCTAGTGCTTACCTGACTTACTGGGTACACTGTCCCTAATTCTGTAGGAAGGGGCTGCGGAGTTGGGAGAGAGACAGGTGTCAACCATATCTAGAAATAGAATCTTTGCTGAGGAAAAAAATGTGAAATATAGATCTAACCAAGCACAAGTAGGCCTATGCTTACCTTGTTAATAAGGTATAATCTGACACTGGTTCCAGGTGTAGTAGGCAGGATAATGCCCTCCTCTAAAGATATCTACTTTCTGTGACTATATTATTTTACATGGATTGAATTGTGTCTTCCCTCGCCAGCCCATGCAAAAAAGAAAAAGTGTCAGCTTGGCTGGACTAAGATTCTCAGTGGTTTGCCAGTTCTATGATGATCCCCCATGATGTGATCTGATGTAATGAATCCATAAGCAGATTAAAGGTGGGATGCATCAAGGTGAGAGTCCTGGTGTGGCACTGTAGGATAAGCACTGGACTGCTAAGTGCAAGGCTGGCAGTTCGAACCCACTAGCTGCTCCTTGGAAACCCTGTATGGGGTTGCAATTGAGTAAGAACTGACTTGATGGCACTTAATAACACATCACCCTTAACCCACCACAACCCTGATCTGATGTACTGGAGATTCCCAAGGGTGTGGCATGCAATGCCTTTTATCTTACAAGAAATAAAGGAGAAAGACTTGAGCAGAGAAAGTGGGAACTACAACCACCAAGATAGAAGAGCCACGAGGGGACTGTGTCCTTTGCATCTGGGTCCCTGCACAGCGCAACTCCTAGATCCAGGGGAAGACTGATGTCAAGACACATGGAGATCACCAAGGAGTACCAGGCCTATGGATGCTGAAAGATGACAGGGACCTTTCTCAAGGAGCCATCTCCCTAAACTGTGAGAGACCACATTTCTGGTTGTTAAATTTATCCATTTGTGGTGTTTCTGTTAGAGCAGCACTCGATAACTAAGATACCTGGCCAACGGTCCTTTGCAGGTGTGATTATGTTAATGATTCTACAATCAGGAGATTATCCTGTATTATTCCATTGGGCCCAGGGTGCTCATCAGGGTCCTCATAAGGGAATCAGGAAGGGAGGCAGGAGAGGCTGCAAAGGAGATGTGACAACAGAGGCAGAGATGAGAGAGAGGGAGAATGAAAGGGAGAGAGAAAAACAGAACGGAAGAAAGAGAATTTAAGATGCTGCGCTGCTGGGTTGTTGTTGTTGTTAAGTGCCTTCGAGTCGGTTCCGACCCATAGCGACCCTGTACAGGGTTTCCGAGGGTGTAAATCCTTACGGGAGTAGAAAGCCTCATCTTTCTCCCGTGGAGCAGCTGGTAGTTTCGAACTGCTGACCTTATGGTTCGCAGCCCGATTTGTAACCACTACGCTACCAGAGCTGGGTTAGAACACAGGAAAGAACCACAAGCCAAGGAAATTTCCCTAAAAGCTGGAAAGGGCAAAGAAATGGTTTTTCCCTAGAACCTCCAGAAGGAACCAAGTTCTGCCTGACTATTTTAGACTTCTGACCGCCAGACTCTAAGATAATATAAATTCATGTTGTTTTAAGCCACTTAGTATGGTCATTTGTTTCAATAACAATGGGAAAGTAACATATGAATAATTTCAGGCTATGGTGTTCTCTGCTAAATTTGACCCCTGTACATTAAGAAAGGAGCTCTGGTAGCATAGTGGTTATGAATCAGGCTGCGAACCTCAAAGTCAGCAGTTTGAAACTACCAGCTGTTCCACGGGAGAAAGATGAGGTTTTCTGCTCCCATACAGATTTATAGCCTCGGAAACCCTGTGCAGGGTCGCTATGAGTTAGAACTGACTCCACAGCACATAACCACCAAGTTAAGAAAGGAATCCTGGTGTGGCACTGTGGGCTAATTCATCAGACTGCAAAGTCGTTTGAACTGCAAGGTCGGTGGTTCAAGCTCACCAGATGCTCCTTGGAAAGCCTATACAGGGTCGCTATGGGTCAGAATCGACTCGACGGCACTTCACAACAACAACAACAACAACAGTAAGAAAAGGAGCCCTAGTAGACTTGGAGTAGGCTTTGGGTTGCTAACTGCAAGGTCAGTGGTTCAAACCCACCAGTCATTGCTTGGGAAAAGCTGAGGCTGTCTGTTCCTGTAAAGTTTTACAACCTTGGAAATCCTATATTGCATCCCTGTGAGAAAGAGAAAGGAAGAAAGAGAATTCAAGTTGCTGCTGCTGGGTTAGAACACAGGAAAGAACTGCAAGCCAAGGACCTTGCAGTTCAAACAACTCTGGTCAAGTCACCTAAAGCTTAGTGTCATATGTTTCAAGCACCATGGTCATCTGAACTTCCAAACAGACAGACGCTATCAGCGGGATACTCTGGAGTTTTGAGTTGTAGAGGCACAGAGTCAGCAAATGATTCAGTGAAGTTCATAGTCACTCTTCCCTCTATCCTCCCTTCTCTCTGACATATACCATTTCATAGAAGTGCAAACATTATAGGTGTTGAAAAAATTCTGCTTCATCTTTCAGCGTCTTCCTAAATTTCAAAGAGACAAGGAGGACACCCTCATGTTCTCCTCCCTCACACTCTCTCAAGGCAGGTGTTCCAGAAAACGAACCTTTAGGTATAAAACATGTCCAGATAGCTTTCCTTCAGGTTGGGGTTTACAAAATATAAGCTTAACCTTGGGAAGAACAGAATCACGTACGTGTTCAGACGTAAAGGCCACGAGCCTGGGAACTGCAGCCATTCCTTTTTCCTTGACTTCCGGGAACATCTTGAAGCGCGCAATCAGCATGGCGTACATGTTAGATATAGCGCCACCTAAAGTGCACAGCAGCACAGTTACTTTTCCTGTTCATTAGCAACTTCACCTTCAAGTAACATCCCGTATGTTTACTGATCTAGCATCTTCCCTGGGGTTCTGGTGTGGTGCTGTAGGATAAAAACTGGACTGCTAATAATTAACGGAGTCCTGGTGTGGTGCTGTGGGATAATGCGCCAGACTGCAAAGTCAGTTTGAATTACAAGGTCAGTGGTTCAAGCTCACCAGCTGCTCCTTGGAAACCCTATACAGGGTTGCTATGGGTCGGAAACGACTGGACAGCACTTAACAACAACAAACGTCTTCCTTAGACCCAAAGACAAGAGCTAAGAGAGTTCAGAGAAAACAGATTGGGCCCAATGATAGCACAAATGCTACCTTTCCAAATGCCATTGCTTCACTATAAGAAATTACAATAGATTCTGCTCTATAAAAGGAGGTTTTTAAGAAGCAAGACATTTTTGCCTTCCTTCCCACCTTGTGAGGGTGGCCATTATGCATTAAGCAAAATCCATTTTTGTTGAGTGGATTCTGGCTCACAGCAATGCTGTAGGGCAGAGGTTCATGGGGATTCTGAGGCTGCAGATCTTTATGGAAGCAGACTGCCTCATCTTTCTCTACAGATCTCTTGGTGGGTTCAAACCACTGACCTTTTGGTTTGCAGTCCAACACAACCCACTGTGTCAACAGGACTTCTAATATCATTATGAATTGTTGTTGTTGTTAAGTGTCGTTGAGTCGGTTCAGACTCATAGTGACCCTGTATAGGGTTTCCAAGGAACGGCTGGTGGGTTTGAACTGCCAATATAGTGGTTAGTAGTCCAGTGCTTATCTTACAATGCCACACCAGGACTCCATTAATAATTGGTGATTGGTGATTGTGTGCTGTTGAGTTGGTTCCGACTCATAGTGACCCTGCATAGGGTTTCCGAGGCTGTAAATCGTTACGGGAGCAGAAACTCTCATTTTTCTCCCTTGTAGTGGCTGATGGATTCTAATGGTTGACCTTGTGGTTCACAGTCCAACATGTAACCCATTGTGCAACCAGAGCTACTTCCGTTAATAATTGTTATTAAGTGCCATTGAGTCAATTGCAACTCATAGTGATGCTGTACATAGTTTCTGAAGAGCAGCTGGTAAGTTTGAACTGCCAACCTTGAAGTTTGCAGTCCAGTGTTTATCCTATAGCACCACACCAGGAGTCCAAATTAATCATTAGTAATGGACCCTATGAAAATCCCATATTTTGAATGAGAGCTCAGTTCTCATTCTAGTTCATGAAATGCCTTGCACTTGGATTCAGACAAATCATTTGCTATTGATGGTGTGGGCTGTTAATCAGTCAGCTTATAGAATGCAGCATAAACATCCAAATGCATTTCATCATACTCATCTATTAATTCCCCAAGACTGTACTTTCCTCTTGAAGACATCATTGAAGGGTAATTGTAATAGTTACAAAATCTTGCTTTGTAATTATAGGAAAACACACAATTAAGGGAAATGTAAGCCCATATTGAATTACTTTTTTGATGTCATCCTAAAATTGTCAGATTTCATGCCATGCGTTGGGTCTAAGTGACACACAGAAAGTGAGCTTTCCCCAGGGCTGTTGGGAAATTGAGGATTTTTGTTATAGCAAAAGGATAGGTTATTGTGAATGCAAATGAGCATGTGGGCATGAAGGCGTGAGATAGGGAAGCAGAGTGAAAGAACTACGTCCTCCTTCCACCCAGAGGGACATCCCCAGCTCCTGCCACCATGTGAGTGCTCTGTGCTGCCTTCCGTCTGGTCGCCATCAACAGAAGGGTTCTCTGTGCCAAGACAACTGGACCATGCAAAGCATTGACCTCTGCCTCCTTTTCCTGCCTGGCACAGAACAGTAATCACCCAGATCCTGAGCTCTGTCACCAGTTAGAACAAGAGTAATTCCTGTCTCCTCCAGCCCCCAGAGACTCCAGACATGCAGAATCCAGGTCAGCTCTGCTCTGAGCAAACATCTTGTCTAAAGGCTGACTGTGTTGGAAGTTGTCGAACAAGGGGTCAGCTTTTAAAGGAATTTCCACTCTAGCTCATGGCTAATCTTGCTACCATTGCCATTTGGGGCTGGGATATTCTTTGTTATAGGGGCTGTGCATGTCCTGTGCATTATAGGATATCAGGCAACATCCGTGGCCTCCACCAATTAGATGCCCATAGTACATCCTGACAATCAAAAGAAATTGTGTCCAGATATTGCCAAATGTCTCAAGGGGGCCAAATTGCTCCTGGCTGAGAATCAATACACTAGCTGTTCTTTTCAGAAAGGCTAGAGGACAGAGGAGGGGAGAAGAAACAAGAGAAGATGTACACAAAGAAATTGCATTGCACGGCAAGACTACCCAAGATACTTCTAGCCCTGCCTTCTTACTACTTCTTCTGCAGTCAGGTCAGCCTCAACTCAGCAGTCCTGAGCAGTCCTGAGAGGGAGCAACAGGCTTCTGAGCCTCTGGGTAGAGCAGCCTGCTCTGTGCAACACAACATGAGGACAGATCATGTGACCCGCATGCTTAGTTCCCTAGAAACTTCTAGAAGAAGGATGCAAAAACAAGTTCTGGAACATTTGAAAACCCTGTTAGGTAGAAGAAAGGTTTGTGACTAAGCCAAGCATTCCTCCTAAGTCCCTTATGACATGCAGCTCAGTGAGGAGTGGTCCAATTCTCCCTGGTCCTCAGGTGTAGGTAATAGCACAGAATCAGAGTTCTTCTGGGATTCCCACAGGACTTTCTAGCAGTGTGAAGCTGCTGGTTGTTTCAGATGGAAGTGTACAGCAAACTCATCTGAGCTATGTATTCAAGTTGATCACAGACTTAATGCTTCACATTCATTTTCAGAGAATGGGAGTTTTAAACCTCAAGGGCATCCAATGGGTGATTTCCCCATATTCCTGTCCCTTAAATCTTAACACCTCTTTCCCAAGACAAGGCTGGGTGCTACTTACAAAGTCAATCAGCAAGTAAGGATGCTACAATCCATCTATCCTCAATGATTCCTTCTAGGAAGTAGAGCAGGAACACCTCGCCAATGGTATGGGTCCCATCTTGGGATGAGGGCCTCTGGGTCTTTAGACTCCCAGGAAAGAACCCCCAAATCAAGTTTGAGTGTACTCTACAGATAATTCCTCAGTAGTCCTCACTGAGCTGCATGTTATGAGGGACTTAGGGGGAATGATCGGCTTAGTCACTAACCTTTCTTCTATCTAACAGGATTTTCAAATGTTCAGAAATTGTTTTTGCATCCTTCCTCTGGAAGATTCTAGGGACGTAAGTATACCAGGCACATGCATCTGTACTCTTGCTGTGTTGGACAGAGCAGTCTGCTCTACCCAGAGCCCCATGGTCATACTTTACCTATCGAACCGACAAAGAATATTCTGTCTCTAGATGTATGTTTTTCTGGGGTATGTGAGTCACCAGAGGAGCCCTGTCAGCCCCCTCAATCAAGTTATCAGGGTCAGTAAATGCAGTTGTTTTCTCCATACTCCTGGAACCAGCAAATAAAGGGGACAGGCTATTCCCAATTCACTTCGAGGCAGTTTAGTCCCACCACAAACCATGTAAGAGGAAAGGAGAAGAGAAGTAGCAATGATGTTGATCTCTGAACTCTACCTACTTCTTCATGGAAACTTAGAAGGATCAGTCCCAGGCAGTGATAAAGCTCCCTTGGCAAGCAATGTTTTCCAAAGGAAAAACTAAATACTACATTCCCTACAGAATAAACCAGTTGCTGATGAGTTGATTTTGACTCACAGTGACCTCATGTGTGTCAAAGTAGAACAGTACACAGATTTCAGTGGCTGATTTTTTGGAAGTAGATGATCAGGCCTTTCTTTTGCTATAAAAAAAAGGCTTGTTTAAATTAATCATAGCTAGTGTTCAATCAGTGAAGGAGATCTGGTAGCATAAGGAGCTCTGGTAGCATAGAGGTTATGAGTCAGGCTGCTACCCTCACAGTCAGCAGTTTGAAACTACCAGCAGTTCCACAGGAGGAAGATGAGGATTTCTGCTCCTGTAAAGATTTACAGCCTTGGAAACCCTATGCAGGGTCACTATGAGTCAGAATCGACTCCATGGCACATCACAGACAGACATAGTGTTCATTAACTTAAAAAAAATGCAGCAACTAACTTTTTGAGTCCTGATTTGGTGCGGTAGGTTAAGGCACTGGGCTGCAAAGATGGTTTGAATCACAAGGTTGGCAGTTCAAGGTCACCAGAACTTGCTCCTCGGAAACCCTATATAGGGTCGCTATCAGTCAGAACCAACTCAATGGCACTTAACAACAACAACAACACTTGTTCAATGATTTAAAAAACTAAAACAAAAAACACTGTTTCTCCCATTTAACTAACACATTTCCTTTCAGCCACTGGGGGGGTGGGGGGGTGGAATTAAGAATATCTTTAAAGAACATAAAACAAAATAACAGATCTGGACTTGTAGGATGTAGTTGTGGGCCACAGAGTCAGTTCTAATTCATAGTGACCCTGTATAGAGTTTCCAAGACTTTAATCCTTTATGGGAGCATCTTTCTCCTGTGGAGCAGCTGGTGGATTTGAACTGCTGACCTTGTGGTTAGCAGCCCAGCTCATAATCCACTACACTAAAAGAGCTCTTTGAATTTGTAGGTAAACTTGCTTAATTTAAGCTCTGACCTATAGGTGACTGTTGCTTGTTCACCATTTCTTCTTTCCCCCTTTTCCTTTTCCCCAACTCTGCATTTTGGAGCCCTTGTGGCACAGTGTTTAAAGCACTTGGCTGCTTGGTGGTTCAAACCCACCAGCTGCTCTGCAGAAGGAAGATGCATGGCAGTCTGTTTCTGTAAAGATGGCAGTTCAACTCTGCCCTAACGGGTCCCTGTGAGCTGGAATCGACTCGCTAGCAGTTGCTTTTGCTTTTAGTCCTTATCCTCTTGCCTTAGTAGATTTGCTGAAAAGAGATCAGAACTTGGCCTTTGCTAACATAGGTCTCTGGGTGGTGGTGCAAATGGTTAAGTGCTGGACTACTAGCAGCAAGGTCAGTGGTTCTAACCCATCCAGAGGTTCCTGAAGATCTCCTTCTGCCAGGTCACAGCCTTGAAAACTCTATGGAGCACAGTTCTACTCTACTCTAACGGCTGCTGCAAGGAGGAATTAATACCACGGTAACTAACATCAAGAACCCTGGTAAAATGGCAGATGTAGCTCACACCTTTCCAGTGGGGTCTTCCTGACTTGAGCCCTAGGGGAGCACCCACCCCTTCTGATGCCGTGCCCATCCTCCATCCCCTTGCAGCTGCTTAGTTCTGGAGACCAGGCTTCCCTGCCATGGGTCAATGGCTTGCTCTTCCCACAGCACTTCTTAACTTCCATTTTCTATCTGAATCAAACCAAGGTCACACACAGACCTGGGATCCAAGGGCAGGGCTTTTTGTTTTAGGTTGACCCTTTTGGCTAGAAGAGATGTAAATAATAGGGCGTAGAATACAATGCCTGGTGAGAAAAGGAAGGGTGGAAAACATAAAATAGCATGGTAAAGAAGAAAAGGAATGAGAAACCTCTAGAAGAAATCATTTCCCTTGTATTTTAGCGCTAAGAAATTGCCTCCTAAGGCTCACTCTCTGCTCTCCTTGAAATCAGTGTAAATCTGTTTTTGGCTTGTTGTACGAAATGGGTAGACCTGCCTTGTTATGAACCCTCAAACACAGAACGCTTTATTAAATGGAAGTACTCTTTTCCTTTTGCTCATCCTGGATAGAATACCAAAGAGTGATTTTTCCCTGATTTGGAATCTTTATTCCTTTGTTCCACAGGAGCCACGTAGCCTGCATATAGAATCACAGTAGAAGTAATGCCTAAGTGTCCTCTCTGATTGTGCTCTTTATGGACATAAATTACTAAAGTTATAGCTTGGAGGCATGTCCAATGGTCATATGAACTTAATCACACTCACTCTTTGGATTAGCATACAGCCTATTTAACCTAAGCAGAAATATTGACTGGAATATTTAATCTTTCCCAAACACGTGATGAGGCATTGTGTATCAGAAGAAAAACACAAAGAAAGGTTGAAATAGCATATACCAGGAGAAAATATCCCGTCGCCAGAGCCCCCTGGCCAGCCAATGATCTCTCTCATTTTCTTTAGCGTGACATATTCCAAGAGCACAAATACTGGAGCAATTTCATAGGTGAACCTGAAATGTAGTAATGACCACATTTTATATATGTAAATCAAAGAAATAATTCACCATTTTCAGTATCTACAGAATGATTTCCTCTTCCGAGCACTACATTCACAAAAATAATGATTGTAACATTCAGTAGAGAGAAAATAATGTCTTCCAGAAGGTTTGCTTGATTTTCTATCTCCTTACTGTCAAGAGCTTAAATTATTGACAAAATACACAAGGATCATTTATCATATTGAATAAATACAAAACATCACAGAGTAATACCATTTAAAAGGCAACATCTGGTCCCATTTCTTTCCACACTATACATAATCATAAATCTAAATGCCAAAGAAGTCCCTTTTGTATTTTAAAGTTTTTGTATAGATTTGATTGCATGAAAGATATTTCAGGACTATATCCTATTAAACTAGGAGCAAACACTCATATACTTCTGAGGTTTATGCTGCTGTTTTGGTGGATGCTTAATAAAAAGAGATTTTAGTATGGGAGTTAGAGTAAAGACTATGGAATCCTGCTAAAAATTATCTTGAATTCCACAAAAACACATTTAGCTACTTACATGTTAGTATTTGCTGTTGATGTCAGCCAGTCGGCTGCTAATCCAACCATATCCAATCCAGTAGAAAGTTGATTGAAATATCTGGGGTGCCCTGGAAAAAATAAAAGGAACACCACATTCAGGATTGCATCCAATGAAAATAAATGTCTCTGAAACCCAAGATTTCTCTAAAGAACTTTGATAGATCCTCCCATCTCAGGTAATCCATATTCAGAAACACACACATATTAAGCATTTTCTGCTAGCAAGAGACACTAGCTACTTTGAGTTTTGATAGTTCTTAATATCAAAACATATCCTATGAAATTTCTTAATATTAAATCATATCATATGAAAAATAACTAATATTAATATTTGTTATTAAATATTAAATTCTTAATATTAAAACATATCCTATGAAAAATAACAAATGTGATTTGCAACCTGAAATTAATTTATTTCTTACCATTCTTTCAATATATATTTTCCAACCAAAAATGCTAGTGCAATCAGAAGCAATTCAGTGACAGACTACTTATTTATACTTATGCTTCTAAAAATCCAGTTTTGTTGCAGTGGTTCTGATAATCAGTCATAACATGACATCTGAAAGGCATGCCAACATTTATAATAATATCAGTGACAAATGGCCGATGATTACAAAGGACAGGACAAAAAGGAGAAAATAGGACAAGCTGCTGAGTGACTTGCCCTGGATTCAGAAGGTGATGACTGTCTAGAGATTGCAGGGACAAGCCTAATACTTGTCAGTTCTCTGTTAGAATATCTGTTTGTAAACAAGAGAGCTCCCTCATCAATGTGATTTAAAATCAAGCTGAATACAGCCAACATCACTGTCTTGTCAATATGATACATGAAGATATATTCAATGGATTGGTCAGTCCATTAGCAAGGATTATCTAATTAACCTCTAGGTAATGCTAAGACTCTCCTGAGGTGGTTGATACCGGAATAATCTTACGGTTATTATTTAAAAGTTGAATACAAATATCTCATTAGAATTCCATTTCCTCTCTTTGTCTAATAAAAGCCTATCTATAATTTGATAATTTACTTAGTAGCATAAATTTGGGAAAATGAACAATTATGGAAAGAGAATCTGATAAAAAGGTATCTACTGTTTACTGGACACCTGTCTGATGTGATAGTCTGGGGATGTGATAGTCTTTCATAGCATGGGAAAACAAGATAAAGGACGGCAGTGGGGAAGGCAGGGACAAAAGTTGACACCTAGTTATCTCCTGGACTGGAGTGCTCTCTTATCAGCCTCCCACATGTGGCTAGAGAATTAGACACTGAGCAAAGACAGGAACTGGGAAAGAACACATCATAAAAGGATTGAGATTCTATGCATCTCTCCTGGCATTGTTTTACCTCCCTGTGGCCTTGCCTAGTACCCGTGTCATCTTTGTGCTCTTTTCTAGGCCCTCTGATGCTAACCCCTATCAGTTTACCCATCCTCAGAAAGTGAAAAAAAAAAAAAAAAAATCTTCTTGGCTGCTGCTGCTGCTGTTCCTGCCATTTGGAACAGCCCTCCACTGCTCTCTGCCTCATTGACTTCCCATTTCATTATAGCTCACAGCTAAAATCATAGCCACCTCTCCTCCCCATGCCCTTTCAATTCTCTACCCTCAAGTCTTCTTAAAATGAGGAAATTAATTAGGATTAGCAAATCTATCTGTTAGTCTACTCTCCCAATCCACATGGATTTCTGGAGGAATCTGGTGTCTGTTATTACACGCTCTTTAGCTCTTTGGAAAGTTTGGTATGAAAAACTCTGCTTCTAATTGAGGGGATTCTAAGGTAGGTATTGTGACTCTGGAAAATCCGAAGGCCAATCCACCTATGTACCCTGTGAAGACAACTGATATTTCCATTGCTTGCTCTCCCTCAGTCTGCCTTTTATGTCCTTGGTCTGTCATTTCACCTGAATCTTTCCTGTCTCAAATTTTTCATTAGATGATAATGATTTACAAATACGGAAGGAGATCATTTGACAGGTCAGAACAGCATGCCTTCTTCATTTCTGCAGAAATATTCATCTAATTACAGTCTCTCTCTGTGACCCCTACTGGCTGCCTACAGAGCTGCTCGATGACTCTAGGCAAGTATTAATGACAGATAAGGCATTGAGAAACCTGCCTCAGAGCTTGTACAACTGAGCTTCCTGAAGCTGTCCCTGCAGCCCTGGGCACCCAGTAGTTGTTGCTGTTGCCCACTGGGCTCTGGCACTGACAGCACTGGCATGTCACGCATCCAAATTGGTTACCATGTATACCCTCCCCAGTCAGCGAGATGGCGAGTCAGATGTGGGATTGGAATGATCTCAATCACTTCACCTTTGGAACACCCTCCAATGTTAAGCAAAAGAGACCTCAAGGCTGCTCAGATTCTGCAAATAACGGACCCCAGAAAACTCTGACCCTGATGTTCATAATTAGTTGGGGAAAGAACAAAAGTTTAGGTCCCAGTTGCTCTCTATGTTCTAGCAACACAGCACAAGGTCAGCTTCATTCATTGGCACTCTAATTCCATTTGTCTGCTGGATTGGCTAAAATATTCACAAAAAATGTTGGCCCTTCCTTCCCACTACCAAATTGGTGACCTCTGCAAATGGCAACTATTCCAGAATTCAATCTTCTCTGCAGTTTTCACTTCCAACATTTCTTACAGAGTTCATTTAAACAATACACCCAAACTTTATTTTAAAACATTTTCCCACTGCTCACTTCTCACTCCCCTCTAAGCTTGAAACCGAAGTGGAAATCAGTAGAAACCAAGTAATAACATATATCTTATGAAAGAATCTCCCAAGGAACATTAAAATGTCTGCTGGCAGCAGGAATGGTAACCACTTTGACAATCTCTTAATAGTCTTAGTTGCCAAATGCAACAGTTACAAAAATCCATAAATGCCATTTGAAAAGAGAAGGGCACTGCTGTTAATTTCCTGAAATACCATTTTGGTTGGAAAGGCCAGAAGACTAAATAGTATATGAATAATACTGAGATATTGAATTCAATTGACATGCCTTGCTTAGCAAACCCAAGTTAATCATATTTTCACATGAATTTAAATCAAAATGCACTAGTTGCACTTGATGAGCACTTAGTTTTATAAGCATTATGGCAAAATCTAAGTATTGACTGCAGCTACCTTTTCCTGACATTAAATGGAACATTGACAGACAGAACTATTACTTTCATTGACTTACAATTCTCATTTTCCTATCTCTCAACTGCATTTCAAACACCACCAGTTTTTAAAACTGTGTAGTTCCATGGATTATTTTTGGTTTGGTAGCAATAAAAATAATAGGTAAATAATGTACTATTATCATCTGAATATTAGATTAAGAGAATGGATCCAGCAAAAATTAATCAAGAATGATGGCTACATTTGCCACTACAGATATAAAAAAGTTGGTGGGGGCATTTTCCATGCCTGGCATATGTATCATGTCAGTTTCCTTGAAGATTAACTAAAGCTATCTAATGTTGTTGTTGTGAAGGGCCATCGAGTTGATTCCGACCCATAGTGACCCTGTATAGGATTTCCAAGGAGCAGCTGGTGAGCTTGAACTGCCAACCTTGCAGTTCAAACGGCTTTTCAGTCTGGCGCATTAACCCACAGCACCACACCAGGACTCCGATATAAGCCTTAAAAAATTGCATTTCACAGACTGAGTGTGATAGAAATCACCTAGCGTAATTCCTTTCCCTATGTGGTTATTTCTAAGTCTATATAGCCTCACAAAAGTGGCTTCTATGCATCCATTTTCTCACTATTCGCATAAATAAGGTGTACAATGGCTCCAAGTCTCCCATAAGCATCCTTAAAATGTTTATTGGTGGTGGTTAGAATGATACTAACTCATCAAAAAAATTTTTGCAATATAAACAGATCAATTTTCCATGGTAATTAAAGTTCATGGAATATTTTACAATTTATCTGCCAGCAAATCTCTTAAAGGCTGCAAATCAATGTAAATGTACAAATATTTTCTTTTTTGCCTCCAGAAATTCATTCACATTTATTTTTATTGCTTATGAATCACCATGCCAACATATGCTATGATATTAGGGACAATGTAGAGGATGAGGGGTGTAATCATGACCTGGGAAGAAATGACAAGGTGGTTCTGGGCTGATAAAATGAAATTATACAATGTGCATCCACTAGGACTATAAAATGGACAAAGTGCAAAAAAAAAACAAAACTGTATAAACCCAAATATTCAGTCAACAGAATGCATTTTTAAAAAGTAGACTCTAAGGAAATCCCTTTTTGTTTTTTGTGTTATCTTACCTGCACAGTGGCTGTGAAGAACATGGCTGAATTGCTACCGTATATTTTTTGTTGTGCACATTTTTTTTTTTTTTTTTAAGGAGGCAACCAGGAATTCAAATGTGAAGCCTCAGCTAACTGAGAAAATGCCAAAATATTATCGCTTTGGTTCAGCAACTACACAGGATGATTAGTCCAGTTTCTGACCATTGTATGCCAAGGAAATTACCAGCAGGAGCGCTGGTACTTGAGCTTTTGTTTGGATCCTGCTTTGAGCTCCATTTCCATATTTCCTTCCTTTCTTCATTTCATTTCGGGTTGCTTCTATTGGCTTCTGCTGACAAATGGTTGCTTCTATACATGGTTAATCTCCAAGGCAGTGTAAAATCAGATCTATACAACAGTCAGAATCAACTCTGAGCCAGAGGGGTTTTTTAGTTTGTATTTTACACTATAGGTAAAGTCTTTAATATTATTAACTTCAGAAACATTAACACTAGTAGTTGAGGGTGCTTATTGTTATTAATCATTCTAATAATGACTTAATGACTCTTTTTAAGATGACTGAAAATAGTTTTGCCATCTCAAAAATATCAGTAACTCCATAAAACACAAAACACTTCTGTAGAAAAAATAAAATTTGTAAAGTAATATTTTTTATGAGTTTCGAATAGACATTACCTGTTTTAATTGCATATTTTAGAGTTGTTCGACAATTCATCAAAATTTCTTCCAAGTTTTGTGGTTGGTCTGCTAATTCCCAATTATACTCTTGAAGAAGCTCATTAGGGTAATGGAAATCAATCACTTTGGTTGATCTATCGAAATTTTTTACTACATATTGAAGCAAAATGTCCACAACATCTTGCAGAAACGCCAAAGTAGGCCTTTCTCCATCACAAGCAGGCAGCAAGTCTAAAGAATGGAATTAAAATACATTTTAATTTTACCGTGGAAATAATTCAGGCACGACCTTGGTCTGACAATTTCTCTTTCAACAAAGATTTTATACGGATCCGGGAGTGGGATAAGCACTGGAAATGAGCAGCATTTGCTCTAAAAGGCGGGGTGGGGGTGGGGAGCATGTTTCAATGAAGAAGGGTGTAAATGAGAAAAATTAGGATTCTCCCTCTAAAATTATTTTTTGCATTTCAATGAATAACTTATTATTGTTCACTTTTCCAAGAGCATTTTCATTCATCGATTTCACGGGTTTCGTCCTAAACGTTACTTATCAGTAAATCATCTAAAAAGGCTTACAGGAACCCTTCACGTCGGAAATGTTTGAAGAATGTCTTTTAGCAAACCAGACAAAACGGAGCACGCAATGTAAGGATCTCTGACCCTTAAGGAAGACGCAAAGACAGCAGGTGAGCACGCGCGCCGGTGTGACTGACTGAAGGTGTCAAGTGCACCGGCGCAAAGCTTTGCGCGCGGATCTCACACGAATGGAATAACTTTCCTATGAATTGGTGTTACAGATAATTCTTGCGATCTAAAGATTAAAAATTCCTAACAATGCTAAATTCCTTGGCAAGGAAGCTCCAGTGGCACTGGGAAGCTGAGGTCGAGCTCCCCCTGAGCCGCTTTCTGGAAGAGCGCTTCGGCCCCAGAGCCTTTTGGAATGCGGTGCCTAGCGCCTCGCAGAGGCTGGGGTCGGGGCTTGGAATGAACAAGATGCCCAGAATTTCTCTCATTTAGCCTCAGATTCAAGCAGGGTCTGGCTTGTAGCACTGAGTCCCTCGGTGGGCGGGGCAGCGCGACGGTCAGCCGCGCGCCCTCCAGCCCAGCCACGCGCGTTTACCTGTTGCGTGCAGAAAAGCGTAGTTGACATCCGCCTTGGGACAACTGCAGGGCTTTTGGTCGCAGGCGCAGACGGCCTTCCCGGCAGCTGCCAGCGAGGTCTCGCTCCCACCGCTTTCTGCCGGCTTCTCGGCGTCTCCGTAGAGCAGGGCTGGGCAAGGACATCGAGCGCGGTCTAGGTCAGACGCCCACCCTGCATAGCTCCCTAGTCCCTCCCGCACCTCACAAAGAAACCCCGACTCCGCTGATGAGGACGCCCGAGGTGAGAAGATAGTTTTGCCCCCGCAGACGCCGAGGCTCCGGGCCTTGCCCGCTCCCCTTTCCCGGGACGCCTGCACTCACCGCAGAGCTTGTTTCCTATGCCGCCCGTGAACTTCTGGGCCACCTGGCACCAGGCTCTTGCTGGAGAGAGAGACAGGCAAGCAGACAGATACGCAGAAAGAGATAGCAGGCGGACATGTGAAATTCTATTCTATTTGAACAAGGTCAATGAACCCTGGGTTAGGTAAAGGGCCTCCTTCCTCTTGCGAGACCGCCCGGGGCTCGGCGCGACTGGCAGGAGCCGGATGAGCACCGGAATGCTCGCCTGGGTGATTTGTGTCCTAAGGGGAAATCACACTGGGGCCTTTTGAACTTGCCCACACTCCTGTTGAGTTTTGCTAACCACAGAGGTTGCCCACGTCCTTGCAGACTTTCCTTTCAGACCAGGAAGTCTCTCCCCATCCCCTTATTTCTTTTTCCCCACGTCACTACGCCCCTTTCTAGGATCCAGACACCAAGATGGTGGCAGTACCCTAAGCTCACGGAATTTGGTGTCTGGAAGACAACGCCGTCTATGGGGGATTGCCACAGGCTTCTGCATAAAGGGAACGAATGAATCTCTTTGGGTGTCATTCCTGGGGATATGGGTTTGTGTGGGGGCTCGGTCTCTTGGGCGCTCAAGGGCCAACTTCAAGAACTGGGGTCCGAACAAGTTTCCAGTTAGAGGTGGAATAAACCTCCTTCACCCTTTCCCTAGCCCTGCAAACCTTAGTCCTTCCACAAAGCTCACTCATTGCACAACTCAATTTTCCTACCTGTGCCAGGGTTTTCGGGATCCCCAGAGCCATCTTCGGACCCGAAGGACCAAAAGCCAGATCCGGGAGATGCCATCTGCGCTGCGAGACTGGAGCAGTTCGCCGCTGAGAGCGAACTGCCTGCGAACTGCCCTCTGCTTGGCCCAGCGCGCGCGTGCGTGTGTGTAGCGGGAGGAGGGCACCAAGCGGGTACCAGCGCGGTCGCGCAGCAGAGGATGGGTGTCACACAGGGACAGGAAACGTGCGTGTCAGCGTGTGCGTGCACGCGTGTGTGTGGTGCGGTTAGGGCTTAAACATTTGGCGACCCTCTGGAAGCCTTAGAGTTGGGGAGGGGGGTAAATAGGTTAGAATACCGAGGGGTCCTTGAAACCTGGAGAAGGGAAAGCGCTGAGCACCCGAGAGATTTTGAGGGACAAGAAGCTCAGGAAAGCCGAGTGAGAGGGCGGTGGAGGGGGAAAATGGGAGAGGGAGGGAGCTGAATCGTGAGAGGGTGAGGCAGACAGTACTCGTGAGTTGGAGTCAGAGTGAGTGGGTGGGAGGCGTGCAGGCTGGCACCAGGAGAGCTCAAAGCGTGAGTGTTCGGCCCGCCCCCGCGGACCCGGGTGCACTGTCCAGGGTGCTAACGTGGACGGCTGCTCGCCGACCTCAGCAGGGCCACACCAGAGAGACCTTGGCAGGAGGGAAAGGGTGGCCGAGATGAGTTTTATACAAGCATCGCTTAGCATATTGTTTGAGGTCTGGCTCCCGCTGCTGGGAAGGAGGCGCGAATGCGCCGACTTCCTCCATGAGGGTGCAGAGGTCGCTGCGACTTTATGAGCTTGGTCGTTGGGCTTGAATTAGGTGACTTTCTCAAGCTTGGAGCAAGGATAGTGGGGGAAGGGCACCTATGGCTCTGTTGGGCTCATTTCAGCTCCTTAGTAGAGTCTAATGCCTGCCTACTGAGCCGCGCGGTCCCAGGAGGCGCACCATTCCTACGCAGCAGAGCGTCCGGTCGCTGGACTAGACGTCCAGGTTTTGACTGACGGCTGGGGAGAAAGACTGCTGATTGAGGCAATTAAAATTCACACTGGAGTCTATCTGAGACTGGGGGCGGGGAGGGGGAATAAAACGAATGGAAACATCTATAAAGGGGTGGGGGAGACAGGCTACAGACAGCAGCACTGACAACCAATAAGGAATGTTGTTGTTGTTGTAAGGTGCCATCGAGTCGGTACCAACCTATAGAGACCTTATGCACAGCAGAGTAAGGAATGGAATTGTGTTTTTTGGTGATCTTGTCCAGAGGAGGCGTAGACTTCTTGCTTATGTATGATGGGAAATGGTGTGTGGGTGAGAGGCGTGCGCAAGGTTTCCAACTAAGCTAGCTAAATTTTACAAAACCGAGGCGGAAGAAAGGCACGGCCTGCAGTGTTCTCACTTGGGGGTGGTGTGGGGGGTGGGGAGCTCAAATCGATGACCAGCTCCAGAGAATCTCCAATGTATGGGGGGCGGGGGGAAGATGGCAGATACTGACTCCTTTTGACAGCCTTGTGGGTAGGAGTGGGGTGGGGGGAGTCAGAACATCTCCTAACTCCTGTCAGACGATTTCCTTTCTCTAACAGCTGTTACACAAAGACAGGGCGTCCTGGGAAACTGGAATCTCTGAGTTTGTGCTGCTTCTCAGCGTTGAAACGCAACGTCAAGCACACCTTTCAGTTCCGGAGTTCGCTAACGCTGAAGGAGGACGAGAATGAACCCAACAGGAGGGCTGCGTCCAGTCTCCTAGCTGTCATTTCCATTGTGTTCACAAACCGCTCTTCCTCAGACCTGAACCAGTCAACGAAACTGCTGTCAAAGAAAGACCCGCGAATCCTCCAGTCTTTGCTCAACTCTTACTTAGGAGGGGGCGTCGTCGGGCCCAGTGTGACTGCGTGCAGGCCCATGTACTGTGTCTACTTAGTGGCCTGGTCAATTTTCTCCACAAACCTCTGTCTTCTTCCTACGTGCGAGAGCTGGAAGTGGGGTGGGACGCCGGGAGGAACAGCAGAATCTGTACCAGTGGTGGACTTGGAGCTGAGTGAACTCTGTCTGGTACCCGGGAGCGCGGTGGGCACGAACTCTGGCCGCTGATCAGCAGCACCTTTCCTGCTCTGCAGGCGTGAAAGCGTCAGTGGACACAAGTAGCAACTTCAGGACGTCAAGACTTCGTGATTCGGTCTTTTGCATTTCGTCTTCGCAGCTCTAACTCTAGCAGCTAAAATACAAGTCGGAGAGAGCTATTCTTTGTTTTAACCCAAACCAAATTCAGCAAATGTTCTGTTCAAGTCAGTAGTCTGCGTTTACAGAACCTTTTTGACTATGAATGAGCGGCGAAAAGATAAAGGTTCTTTTTTTTTAAAAAAAATTAAAAAGTTTCAATACACACACACACATAAAACCCCAAGGACGAAACGGATTAAAGCACGAGGAATGTAGAAACACCAACACTCGAATTAAAACACACACAAAGAACAGTAACTAAAAATGTTCCCATTTTAAACGCCATTGAATCTCAGCTCCGGAGTTCTTTGAATATAATAGTGGTTTTACATTTTTTAACTTAAACACATCTTACTTCAGATGCATATCTGATTAGTCGCTCCTTAAGGTCCCTCTCTCGACTGCAATTTGCAATCTCTTTTTCGCAGAGGAGCCCACTCCTCCCCATGTTTTGCTGGATGTGCCATACAACAAAAGAGCTCAGGGAGGTAATAATTACAGTCATTAGATTACAAAGAAGGCAGCCACCGAGTGGGGAGGGGAGGCAGAACAGTGCTGGGGAAAGCTTTCCTGGACCTTTCCTCGAGGAAGGGGAGAAAGACCCACGCTTCAGTGGCTCCCAGTCGCCGGGGACGGTTTCTTTGGATGACCTATTTCTTGTCCGTGGTTTACCTGGAGATCGCGAGGCCAGCACAGCTGAACAAAGAGTACTTCACACAGATATTCCCCTGAATCCTTCTAGTGCCAAAATGTCGAAGGGAGAGGGAAAGGAAGCGAAGAAAAGGAGAAAAACAGAGAAATGAAAGGAAAAAAAAAAAGGAAAACCGAAGTATTTGGGTAACTGCACCCATTCATCACGCGGTTATGTTTCAGTTTGACTTTTTTAAAAAAGGAATGATTTTAGGGAAGACGCCTGTTGCCTTCGGATTCATAATCGGAGAGGCCCGGCTGCCAGGACTCTGGTCTACAGTGTCCACCCCGAAACCTGGATTGAAGGACGGTCCTGGCAGAGAAGTGGACCTTGCTTCCGCTCCCTTTCACCTCCCAGGGCCTCTGGGTGGTAGATGAGCAGGTGGGCAGGAACGGAAAATGTCGTGCATTTACACTTAAAGATGGTTACAGCCATCTTTTCCTTACCCCCACCCCCGGTGATCTGCTCGTTTAGTTGGTGTTTGGGCCAACAGCTGTCCCATCCCAATCCCACCACCCGTCTGTATTCCGTGGGAGCTTTCACCTCGAGCGCAGGCTAGGGCTTGTGGTTTTGCCTTGCCATAGCGGGAGGCGTACCCTAGGCTGAGTCTCAGACTCTCCAAGCCCTTATTTGTAATGAGTCGCCTCTGGGGGCCTATCAACCGCAAATCCTTGGGTGGCAGAGAACGTCTTTGCCCGGAGTAGACTGGCACAACAGACTTCAGTCGCTGCACACTCTCTCACTCGTTCCCCTCAAGAGCCTCCTTGTCCCTGCTGTGTGAGCAGGAGCTGAAGGCACCCACAGAATTGACAAGCTCCCTACTACTCAGAATCCTTCTCCCAGTTTAGTCGACCACGGAACTATAGGCGCCACCCGAACACCAGGTCAGGTAGACGCAGAGATTTTCTGTTCTTGGAAGAGTTGGCTCGGGTTTTAAAAATAAGGTGCAGTCAACTGAGGAATGCTAATCTTCAAAACACTTAAATTTGGAGTAGCGAAGATTGTCCCAAATCTGCAAGTAGGCAATCTAAAAATTTAATAGTTTAGTTCAGTGCTGAGGCCAGAAATTTTGTATTAAAAAACAAACCTTGCCAGTCCAGTGACCCTATAGGAAGAATAGAACAACTCCAAAAGGTTTCTGAGACTGCAAATCTTTGGAGGATCAGCCAGCTCTTCCTTTTTCTCTTGCAGAGTGCCTAGTGGGTTTGAATCCCCCAACTTTGGGCTAGCAACCCAAACAGTCTGTGAAGGCAATGAGTGTGTGTGCGCGCGCGCACGCGCGCTTTTGAAGATTTGTCTGGAAGCCGCGTTTTAGTATCAAGTACGTGGTTTCAGCTAGATTGTATGTTTGGGGGTGGCTGGGGGTTTTCGTTGAGAGAGACTACCTCTACTCCCTCCCTTGGCACCACCACAGGTATAGGCAGCAGTCAGACCTCAAAGAAGACTATGGTGGACTAGCCCCTCAAGCCACTTCCTTTATTTAGTAAATTTAATATCTAAGGGGAAGGAAAGCAGATGTTGGCGTTGAATTTTCTCTACATGCCTTTTCCCTCCCCTGCTTCCCACTGGATTTTCTCGCCCAGACACTAGAAGCTTGGGCGTATCCCAAAGGCCCGGGACTTTTTTTGGACCCTGCAGCTCCGCAGGCTTGGGGCACATTCAAGGGCCGCTGGTCCGGGGCACAGGGGTGGTCGCCTAGCAGCAAACTACAATTGCTGGACGAGGCGTCTGCGTTGGGAGGTTTTGCGTAGGAGTCTCCTGTAGTCATAGGGGTTGGCTCCCTGCCCGCTCTTCTCCTTTTCCTCCTCGGGGCTCTGGGCCGCCCAGCACCTGTGAGCGAGATCAAGGGCCCCAGCGTCAGCGGCGCCACAGTGCGCGGCTCACCCCCACCCACCCAGAGCTAGGCGGTTTCTTTCCCATACGTTTCTTATCAAAACGTCAGGATTATGGCCAAATGTATTTGAGGTCATTTTCTCATCAGGTTTTCAAAGCTGAGCTGAGGAACTGAGTGGGACCTGGCTTGCGTTTCTCCAGCTGACTTTTTGTTTGGATGAGAACTAAGCAAACTTTGGGAGATTAAGAAAGGTGAGCGTCATATAATTTATAATCAACACATACTTAATTTTTAACACATTCCTGTCAAACAAAATTCAAGATGCTTAAATACACATCCATCATTTTGCATTTTAGAAACTACAAAGCTGCTCTCTCAGTCAGTCCCTCACTTTATGAGAGATGCAGCATCAATCCATCCTGAAAGCATGTTCAATGAAGTTGCTGGGCCACCCTTTCTGAGCCCCACTGCTGGCAAACCCTGCCAATGCTTACCTTTAGGATCTGAAGCTTCTCTGGGAGACTAAGCTGCTCTTCAAAGCGCAGCTACTATAGAATGATTGACTGATTTATTCATTCTTTCATAGAACACTTACTAAGTGCCTGCCACCAGTCTAGGTGATGGGTCAGCAAAAATAACGTTCTTTCATCCACTGTATAGTCTAGCATGGAAGAACATCAGAAACAACTTTTCCTATAGCAGGTGGTGGTAGGTGATATAAAGAAAATAAAAGCAGGATAAAGGGTCATAGTATGTTCAGGTGATTTTATAGTGTGTGCTCAGGACTGGCTTCTCGGATAAGATGACTTCTGAGGAAAGACCAGAATGAATGAAGGAAGGAGGTGAGTCACGCAACTCTCTTGGGGGAGGTCAATCATTCCAGGGCCATGGAAACAGCTCAAGACTAGAGTGCACATACTGTATTTATGGAATGGCAAGGAGGACAATGTGGTTGGAATGGAATGAGCAAAGAGGAGAATAACAGATAATTTAGATAATTTGAGATCATGGCAAGTGTTTATATTTGACTTAGAAGAAACATTGGAGAGCTCGGAGCAGAGCATTCCTAAAATCCAACTTGTTACAATTCTTCATGAGATGAACAAACATATGTTTGTTAAGGAATGAATAGTAAATTTAATTTATAACACCACCCAAATATGTGTTATAAATCTTTACTCCTATACGTGTGGATATAATTCCACTGGGGAATAAAGGTGTTTTTTTTTTTTGTTGTTGTTGTTTTTGTTAATGAGGTCATAGCAGTGTAGGGTGTGTCTTAAAGCAATTATTTCTGAGATATAAAAAGAGCAGATTAGGCACCAAAGAAGTTCAAAGGGGGAAAAGATAGATACCAGGCAGACATTTACAAGAAATGCAGAGAGAAAAAGGATTTTCCTTAGAGCTAGCACAGCTTCCTACACTTTGAGAAAATATATTTTTGTTAGTTAAAGCCACCCACTGTGGCCTTTCTGTTGTGGCAGCACTAGAAACTGAGATAAGGGGCAAAAATGATAGTCCTGGTAGATCTGGTAAAATAAATAAAGATGATAATAGCCACCATTTAAGGAATGCCTTTTCTATGTCACATAGGATGGTAAGTGCTTCACATGCATCATTTCATTTAATCTTTACAACAACGTGGTGAGTCAGTTATTATTAAACGCTGTCACAGATGTGGAAGCTGAGACTTAGAGAGGTCAAATAGCATGAGCAAGCTCACTTAACCATGTGACTCCAGAACCTCCTTACTGACCACCATGTCCCCTTGTAAAAGATACTGGTATAGGGGCTCCCAAGTGCCTTAGATAGACAGCATGTTTGTCTAGAATTTTGGACCATTAGCTTTGCTGCCTGTTATTGCTTCTATTTCTTGTATACTGTGTTTCTGTTCTCTTATGTACCCTCTATTTCAAAACATCATCAAGATTTGTTGGGGAAAGAAAAAAACCAAACCGAAACAGAAAAGTAGTAAGTTTAAATTACTTACTCAGTGTCAAACAAAGTCTGTGTTAAGTTAAGGTGAGATACCAGATGCAAAATACCTATTTCTATGTGAACCTTTGTCCCAAATAGTTTTTGGTCTGACATCACTGATTCTGAGAAATTTCATAGTATAAAAACCAACAAAGGATTAAAATTGTATCAGCTAGAGAGTGAACACAGATTTTGGATATGGTATATTGTGTATAATTAGGATGACCATGTAATTTATTATCTACTTCTGGGTGCTTTTGAAAAGAAATACAATACTACTAATAATTACACCAAGAAAAGGAAGTAAAAACTGGGCGTCTCCTGGGCAATTCAGAATATCTCATTACATTATCATAATACTTAGGATTTTACTTTTAAACAATATGTCACTCATAGAATACAACATTCAATACAAACTTGTTATCAGCCCATATAGAAAATACAATCACTTAAGTCATTGAATTGTGAATATAAAATTGAAAAGGTTGTATTTGAAAGGGCAGTTTATTACCTTTCATCAGCCTTAAAACAGTGATTCTGGAGTTCTCTTTGCAGTCTTTGTTCTTTAAAACTAGGGTTATATTCCTTTGATCCAAAATGACTGGGCAAAAATTCCTTATAATAAAAATCTTCCAAATCTAACAACTTTCCTTCACTGTAAATGAGAGCATAACCACACCATAGCATTCATTTAGTGTTTTTACTCGTAAACTCCTAGGATATTTACTGTCTTCTTTAAAACTATTTAGTATAATTTAGAGATAACACATATATGTTAACACAAATGGAAAGAGTCTTGAATGTGTGGAAAACAGCAGGTACCATAAATTAAAAAGAAAAATCACTCTCATTTCTTACCTTGAAGAGGGCATTTGCCTGGTTCTTTGCCATCCAACTTGACACAAAACTAGTCATTATTAGAAAAGCCCGTGATTATAACATCTCAGTTTAACTCACCTAGATTAGGGTTCACAACTGACTGCAGGGGTCACAATCAGGAATCAGAAATTCTGAGCTCTATGCAGGGAAACATAACATTTCCACACAAGGTTTCATGACCTCAACTTACTTCCCTTACTTTTCTGCCCCCTATGTCTTGGTCTTCAAGTGATTCATTTCTGTGCTAGAGTTTAATTCCTGTGCATGACGTACACACAAGGTTATTTCCTCAGATTCTTAGATCTACTCAGGTTACAGTTCTAGTTCCTGTGGTGTTGTGTATGATATGAACAGTTCCATCTGGGAAACTGCCACACCTTACAGTGCTTCTAGGAAAAAGGGTTTTGTGTTACAGGTGGTGGTGGTGTGCTGTGAAGTTGATTCCAACTCATAGCAACCCTGTATAGGGTTTCCAAGGCTGTAAATCTTTACAGGAACAGGAAGTCTCATCTTTCTCCTGTGGAACGGCTGGTAGTTTCGAACTGCTGATCTTGAGGTTAGCAGCCCAACTCATAGCCACTCTGCTACTGATTTTTAAATGCTCTGTCAGAACACTGCCAATTCAGAAGTTGGCAGCTCTGGGCTCACTAATACTTAGTAGAAAAAGCCTTGTTTGTGATTAGCACTGTTTGGAAATTGGTTGACATGTATGTTCATTAAATGAGTGGTATAGCATTGAAATAGTAGAGTATTGGAAAAGTGACATGTTCCAGGAAAAAGGAACTCCTTCAAATTCACTTTGATAAACTAGAGAAAGCTCCTTTATTTGAAACCCCAGAGAGGATGATGATAAGTCGGCACTAGCAGCAACAGCAATCGAAAATGTTGTTTTTGTTAAGTTCCAACCCATAGCCACCCTGTATAGGGTTTTCAAGGAGCAGTTGGTGAGCTTGAACCACCAACCTTGCAGTTCAAACGGCTTTGCAGTCTGGAACATTAGCCCACAGTGCCACACCTGGACTCCGCAATCAAAGATAGAACAGTATAATTTCTTTGCCCACATTGTTTCATTATCTCAAAACAATTTCAAAAGGTAAAGTTCTTTTACAGATGGAGAAACAGCCTTAGAGAAACAGACAAATTTGCCAACAGCCATGTAACCTGCATGTGGCAGACCAACACCTGTGGAGTACAAAATTTGTGTTCTATGCTCACCATACCAACTCCCTTAATTCGACTGAAGTTTAGCTGTTGGTAGTCTGCCACCTGTAATGACTTCATTACAGTGATTACAATCCCCTCCATGGACCATCAGTTAACAGTATTTACTGCTATTAAATTTAACTCTTGCATCTTCCCGGTGTCTTCCTGCTACTTTCAATTTCCTTTGCCAATCTCCCTCTTGTTGTACACTGCCTGTCCCGTCACCCATGTTATATAACATGTGTCTACCCTCTAGCCCATGAATAATTTATCCCCACCCCATAACCATCACATTTCTTTTTATTTCTCAGCTGTTTTATACTTATATTTTAATATAACATTTCAAAATTTGTTGAAATTCTCAGCAAAATTCTTATAATAATGAAATTCTGGCAGTGGTGATTGTAGATTTTTAGTTTTAATGTGTATTGATCTAATCCCAAGAAAGGCCTGAGATGTTAGTGATTTGCATAAAGAAATGACATGAGAAAGTTTTCTTGTAATTTAACCTTTTTTTTTTTTTATAAAAAGGACATGCCTCATGTATAAAGCATTCTTATTCATGAAAGGTTTGCTACAATATCAATTTTGTTCCGTGGGAGAAAGATGAGGCTTTCTGCTCCCGTAAAGATTTACAGCCTCGGAAACCCTATTCAGGGTTGCTATGGGTCGGAAACGACTCGACGACACTTAACAACAACGACATATTTCCAATAGGAGCGCTGGTAGCGTAGTGGTTACGAACCCAGCTGTGAACCGTAAGGTCAGCAATTTGAAACTACCATCTGTCCCGCGAGAGAAAGATGAGGCTTTCTGCTTCCTACAGCCTCAGAAACCCTGTACAGGGTTGCTACGAGTCAGAACCAACTCCACGGCACATAACCACCACAACCATATTTCCAATAGGCAGGATTCTTATCAATTATATATAAACTATCTATTTATAATATAGGAGTCGTGGTGTGGTGCTGTGGGGTTAATGCACTGGGTTGCAAAGTTGGTGTGAGCCTAAAGGTTGGCAGTTCAAACTTACCAGCCACTCCTCAGAAACCCTATGCAGGGTCGCTATGGGTCGGAGCCGACTCAATGGCACTAAACAACAATAATTTATAATATAGATGTAAAGAGAGAACATTAGCTTTCCAGATCTATCCACGTAATTTTAAAATCAGAATCTGATCATACATCTTTATACTTTGGTTTGAACAAGATAACTTATTGGAATCTGAAGATAATAATTACCTGTCTTTCCTTGGCCTTCGTTTTTCTTCTTGGATTGACTTCTAAAGGGAATAAAAGGATTTAAAAATGTAACTGTCATAATATTATAATCTTAATATATAAATGGAGTTCTTATGTGGCACTGCAGGTTAATGCGCTGGATTGCAAGATTGGTTTAACTACAAGGTCAGGGTTCAAACTTACCAACCACTCCTCAGAAACCCTATAGAGGGTCAGTATGAGTTGGAACTGACTTGATGGCACGTAACAACAACATCATCATATAAATAGATCTATTCATATAAACAGCCATGCTATAAAAAAGCAAACGGGTGATATATTTTTAAAATTTAAAGAAACATAACTTGCTCATATTTAACTAAATTTTGAATTTGTGATTATTTGTGCTGGATGTGGACTAAAACTACAATTTTATAATACAATGACCAGTATTAACAAGATTACACAACCTTTATTTACTACAAATAGGAACAAAAATGTAAGGTTTCTGGGAATCCCTATGTCAAATGAAGTTGTGATTTAAGCAGGCAAATGAAAGGGCTTTGCTGTCTCATTTGCGTGTCATGCTTGTCTTTGCTTAAAAGCAAATGGGTGCAAATTGAGGGTAAATGCAGCAGCCCACAGAGAGAATGAAAGTATGATTTCACGAACCTACAACTCATTCATGGCTTAAAAGTAGAGTAGCAGGTAGAGGCAAAAAATCTTTACTTGCAAAATATTTCATAGTTGAGAATTTTATGTATCAAGGCACAAATTATAATAGTCAAGGAAAGAAACATATTTTAATTTGCACTTCAATTCAAACACAACCAAAGCAATACTTAATTTTAACTTATGTGAAAAGCAATATTGTTTATAAGGTAAAGTAATATTGTCTTTTGCATTTTACCATTTGCAAGGTACTGCATACTATATTAATATATTTACATGTTTCAAGAGTATTTATGCCTTTTAAACTCAGAAAACAAATATCTCACTCACCTAGGACAAGCTGAATAAAGTATAATTTTGCAAACCTTAATGCAGATATAATGGAGTCCTGGTGTGGTGCTGTAGGATAAGCACTGGATTGCAAGGTTGGTTTGAACAGCAAGGTTGGCAGTTCAAACTCACTAGCCACTCCTTAGAAACTCATAGGGTTACTATGAGTTGGAACCGACTCAACAACCCTTAACAACAACAACAAATGAAGATACCAAGTTGACTGGCAGTATAAAAGTGCAAGATAACAGTAGCAGTTAATAAGTTTGTAAATATGAGGGTTAATTCTCAGCATTTTTAGAAACAAAATAAATAATTTTTTCATAATTTATCACAATCTGTCATCCTTTATAATCCTCTAAAATTATAGAACAATCACAGTATGACATTCTCATCTGTCAGTTTGTTGTACTGCAGTGGCTTGTGGTTGCTGTGATGCTGGAAGCTATGCCTTGGTTATTTTAAATACCAACAGGGTCACCCATGGTGGACAGGTTTCAGCAGAGCCTCCAGACTAAGACAGACTAGGAAGAAGGAGAGGCAAACTACTTCTGAATGTTTAGTTTAGTCACTGAAAACCTTATGAATAGAAGTGATAGTGCCAAAACATGAGTGCCTCAGATTGGAAGGCACTTCAGATATGATGAGGGTAAAGCTGCCTTCTCAAAGTAGAGTTGACCCTGAAAATGCGAATGGAGCAGAGCTTTCAGGACCTACATTTGCTGATGGGGCACAATTTAAAATGAGGACAAACAGCTATAAACATCCATTAATAATTGGAACAATTGAATGTACGAAGTATGAATCCAGGAAAATTAGAAGATATAAAAAATGAAATGGAACCTAAATAGACTGATATCCTAGGCATTAATGTGCTGAAATGGACTTTTTGAATCTGACAATCATATGGCTTACTATGCCAGAAGGACGAATTCAAGAAGAATGGTGTCACATTCATCATCAAGAACAACATTTTAAGATCTATTTGGAAGTACAATGTTGTCTCTGATAGGATAATATCCATATGCCTACAGAGAAGATCACTTAATACCACCATTATTCAAATTTATGGGTGATTGCAATGTGAAGGTTGGAAACAAAGAGGAAGGATCAGTAGTTGGAAAATATGGTCTTGGTGACAGAAATTGCATGGTAGAATTCTGTTGGACCAATGACTTATTAGTTGCAAATACCTTGTTTAAAAAACATAAAAGGTGATTATACACATCAGTCTCATTAGGTGGAATACACAAGACTCAAATTTGCTATATCTGTGGGAAAAAACAGTAGAAAAGCGCCATATCATCAGCCAAAACAAGACCCGAGGCCAACTATGGAACAGATCATCGATTACTCATACACCAATTCAAAATGAAGCTGAAGAAAATCAAAACAAGTCCATGAGAGCCAAATGACTTTGAACATATCCCACCTTAATTTGAGGCCATCTCAAGAACAGATTTAATGCAGTAACAATGATGACCAAAGACTAGAAGAGTTGTGGGATGATGACATCAAGAACATCAAACATGAAGAAAGCAAACAGACATAAAAAGTCAGGAAAGAATGAAAAGACCAAAGTGGATGCCAGAAGAGACTGAAACTTGTTCTTGAGAATAGAGAAGCTAAAGCAAATGGACGAAATGAGGAAGTTAAAGAGCTGAACAGAAAATGTCAAAGGGCAGCTTGAGGAGACAAAGTCAATTATTATAATGAAATGTGCAAAGACAGACTTGGAGTTAGAAAACCAAAAAGGAAAAACATGCTCAGCATTTTTCAAGTTGAGGGAACTGAAGAAAAAATTGAAGCCTCAACTTGCAATATTAAAGGATTTTACGGGCAAAATACTGAATGCTGAAAAAAGCATCAGAAGAAGATGGAAGGAATACACAGTCACGCTACCAAAAATAAATGGCCTATGTTCATCCATTTCAACAGCTGATAGTACTGAAGGAAGAAGTCCAAGGTGCATTGGAGGCATTGGCAAAAAACAAGGCTCCAGGAATTGATGAAATACAAATTAAAATATTTCAATAAACCGCTGCAGCACTGGAAGTACTTCTTCATCTATGTCAAGAAATTTGGAAGACAGCTACCTGGCCTACTGACTGGAAGAGATCTGTATTTTTGCCAATTCCAAAGAGAGGTGACCCAATGGAATGTGGAAATCATAGGATAATATTATTAATATCACATGCAAGTAAGATTTTACTGAAGGTAGTTCAAAATGGCTGAAATGTTAACAAAGAACTGCCAGAAATTCAAGCCAGATTAAGAAGAGGACATGTAATAGGAGATATCATTGTTAATGCCAGATGGATTTTGGTTGAGTTGTTGTTGTTGTTGTTAGGTGCCATTGAGTCGGTACTGACTCATAGCGACCTTATGCACAGCAGAACGAAACACTGACTGATCCTGGGCCAACCTCACTACTGTTGCCATGCTTGAGTCCATCGATGCTGCCACTTGGCCAATCCATCTCGTTGGGGGTCTTCCTTTTTTTCTCTGACCTGCCACCTAATATCAAAAAATGTTTACTTGTGCTTATTGACTATGTAACAGCTTTTGACTGTGTGGAACATGACAAGCTATGGATAACAATGTGAAGAGTGGTTATTCCAGAACATTTAATTGTGCTCATGAGGAACCTGTACATACATCATGAGGCAGTCATTCAAACAGAATAGGGGGTATTGAGTGGCTTAAAACCAGGAAAGGTGTGTCTCAGGTTGTATCCTTTCACCAAACTTAATTTGCATGCTGAGCAAATAATCCTACAAACTGATTTATGTGAAGAAGAACTTGGTATTAGGATTAAAGGAAGACTTATTAACAACCTGTGATATGCAGATGATAAAACCTTGCCTGCTAAAAGTGATAAGAACTTAAAATACTAATGAAAAGCAAAGATGATAGGTTTCACTATTGATTGTGTCTCAATGTGAAGAATACAAAAATTCTCACAAATGTTAATAAGTAATCACGAAAAATGGAAAAAAGATTGTAGTCGTCAAAGCATTATGCTTGATGCACAATAAATACTCATGGAAGCAGCAATCAAGAAATCAAATGACTTATTGTATCATGCAAATCTGCTGCACATGAGATTTCAGCCTTTAAAATGTTCAAGAGCAAAGATACCAGTTTGATAACCAAGGTACGCCTGAGCCAAGCCATGGTATTTTCAGTAGCCTCATATACATGCGAAAGTTGGACAATGAATAAGGACCACCACTAAAGAATTGATGTATTTGAATTATAGTGTTGGAGGAGAATATTAAGAGTACCGTGGATTGCCAGAAGAACAAAACTGTCTTGGAAGAAGTACAGCCAGAATACTCCTTAGAAGTCAGGATGGCGAGACTTTGTCTCTTCTATTTCACATATGTTATCAGGAAAGACCAGTCCCTGGAGAAGGGCATCATGCTTGGTAAAGTGGAGGGTCAGTGAAAAAGAAGACCCCTAATGAGATGGATTGGTACAGTGGCAGCAACAATGGACTTAAGTGTAACAACAATTTTGAGGATGCCGCAGGATCAGCAGTGTTTCGTTCTGTTGTGTATAAGGTCACCATGCATCACCTAACAATACCAAAACACTGAATGAGTCAGACAGTTCATGTTGTTGTTGTTGTTGTTGTTATGTGCCGTGGAGTCGGTTCTGACTCATAGTGACCCTGTACAGGGTTTCCGAGGCTGTAAACCTTTACAGGAGCAGAAAGCCTCATCTTTCTCCCGCGGAGCAGCTGGTAGTTTCGGACTGCTGACCTTGTGGTTCGCAGCCCGATTCGTAACCACTACGCTACCTTCTTTTATTCTATTCATTGGCATTTTAGTGGATGGATGAAGTCGGAGTGAATCCTTAAATGTATCAAGTCTCTGAGTAGACCATTCAGAAAATAAAAATGTCAGGGCAGGGCACCAACGATATTTTTTTCTCCCTTTCTGCTTCCTGTTACTTCACATTCTTTATCTAGTGCTCTAGGCTAGTAGGTGCTTACAACGAATTACATGATTAGCATAAGTACAGTGGCCATGAGTAGTTTAGTTATGGATCCCTG